GATATTAGGCAGACCGTATAACTTAATGTTCTGTGTCTGTAAGTGTAGTATTGTCAGATTTTGAGTGTAACAATAATTTCTTTAAGTTTTATCTTCTCCTAGTTTTTCAACCAGGTATTGGTTCTGGGAAAGTCGTCTGTTAGTGACTTGTCAGAGCATGTCTTTGACCTCATTCAGGAGCTCTTTGCAATAGATCCCAATTTGTTGGTTTCTGTGATGCCACAGCTGGAATTCAAACTGAAGGTAAGGACCTAATTGGCACAACTAATGAAGTATACAAATGTTACTTCTGCAATAAAGGGAAATGTGGTCATTTCATGGAACACTGAATCCCCCATTTCCTTGCGATCACTCTGTTTTTGAACAGAGAGGGCTAATATCTATGCACAGCTCCCTGGTGTTACTGCGTGCCTTTAAAATCTGGTATTGTTGCATTACAATAAAATACTACAATTCATTATCGGAAACACATTTTTTTTGGGGTCATTCAGCGGTCTTTTAGGTCAAATAGTTGGTAGAGTGTCCCAGTATTCTTTTCAATGCAACCTGCAGGCGGTGATTTTAGGAGAGTCAGGCAGAACAGCAATTTTTCCATTTTTTTTGCTATCCTATACCTATCTTGTTACCTGAAACATAATTTGTGGCAAATGGCAAAAATTTTTGCCGTGGGCACAGTATCTTTGCCATTGCTGTCTTTTCCTGGAAATTTTAGTTGCTTGTCTGTTATGTGGCTTCAAAACGTCATTGGATTGGAACTATAAGGCCCCATTCACACTGAGCGACATGAAAATCGCACGATATTGTGCGACGAGCAATATTGAGCGACTTGTTGCATTGGGCTGTATGCAATCAGGAGCAATATCGCTCGAAATCGCTGGAAAAAAGGGTCATGTAGGAGCGACAAGCTACCAGCGACGAGCTACAAGCGATATTGAGTGACGAGATGTGAACAGCTCCATTGAAATGGATTGGAGAAGGTACATAGAGCGATATCGCGTGGAAATATGAGCGATATCGCTGCAAAAATCGCTCAGTGTGAACGGGGCCTTAAGAGGAGGATTTTTTCAGAACTTTCCTGCACACTTTTGCTGGATGAGTGACAAAGTAGTTGTAAACCAGACACCCCCAGGCAACTGAAGTGTGATGGCATGCATATTATGCATGACCAGATTTTCATTTTTTTTTTTTTT